TTGATTGGATCAGAATACAAAGGCAGTTCTCCAGCATGCGGTATATGTATTTAATGTTTTTTTCTAATAGAGTGCTGGGTGTACTTTCTCCATGAAATCGTCAATGTTCAAGAGTGATGGGTTAACTTTCTCCTTGAAATCGGCAATGTTCAAGAGTGTTGGGTGTACTCTCTCCTTGAAATCGGCAATGTTCAAGAGTGTCGGGTGTACTTTCTCCTTGAAATCGTCATTGTTCAAGAGTGTTGGGTGTACTCTCTCCTTGAAATCGGCAATGTTCAAGAGTGTTGGGTGTACTTTCTCCTTGAAATCGGCAATGTTCAAGAGTGTTGGGTGTACTCTCTCCTTGAAATCGGCAATGTTCAAGAGTGTTGGGTGTACTCTCTCCATGAAATCGTCAATGTTCAAGAGTGATGGGTTTACTTTCTCCTTGAAATCGGCAATGTTCAAGAGTGTTGGGTGTACTCTCTCCTTGAAATCGGCAATGTTCAAGAGTGTTGGGTGTACTTTCTCCTTGAAATCGGTAATGTTCAAGAGTGTCGGGTGTACTTTCTCCTTGAAATCGTCATTGTTCAAGAGTGTTGGGTGTACTTTCTCCTTGAAATCGGCAATGTTCAAGAGTGTTGGGTGCACTCTCTCCTTGAAATCGTCAATATTCAAGAGTGTTGGGTGTACTTTCTCCTTGAAATCGGCAATGCTCAAGAGTGTTGGGTGAACTCTCTCCTTGAAATCGTCAATGTTCAAGAGTGATGGGTTTACTTTCTCCTTGAAATCGTCAATGTTCAAGAGTAATGGGTTTACTTTCTCCTTGAAATCGTCAATGTTCAAGAGTGAAGGGTTTACTTTCTCCTTGAAATCGGCAATGTTCAAGAGTGATGGGTCAACTTTCTCCTTGAAATCGGCAATGTTCAAGAGTGATGGGTCAACTTTCTCCTTGAAATCGGCAATGTTCAAGAGTGATAGGTTTACTCTCTCCTTGAAATCGGCAATGTTCAAGAGTGATGGGTCAACTTTCTCCTTGAAATCGGCAATGTTCAAGAAAGTTTTCACGGCATTCACACTTTCTCCTCTTGAAGAATGTAACGTGGCAGTGGGGATAGTTGTAAATATATTTGTAGGTACTGTGAGGTATTTGTAGTAATTGTTAGAGGCAGCCAAAAACTGAAGCGCTGGTAAAATGTTGAACGCTGTTGGTGGCAACCATTGGAATTTAGCGCCACCGCATGAACCTTGCAGGCTTAATCATTCAAGACGTTTTGGGATGTGACAGTTTCTAGAGGGCATGCTGTAACTATATACGAGTGACTCTGTCTTGTCCACTTGTTAAGTGCATCTTCCCAAGGCAAGGGAGTTAACTGACTTAAAGTCCAGTTTCCACCCTTGCCGAACTAGGCTGGTATTCAGGAGTTACATTTTGGCTGGATTTCGCGTATCGAACTGGACATCCTGTTCTAAACAACATGGATTTCAACGTGCAGATTTCGACCGATTGCAGGATTTGTAAAGCATGTGTACTGTCAACTGGGCGTCGACAGATGCTTTCCAAATCTTTTTCATGTTTTTAATCAAATGTGCTCAAATGATTTGATGCACTTCGCGAGGTAAGACCCGTTTTATTACAATATAGACCTTGATTATCGATCGATCGTCTTGACTGGGCACCGCCATGTCATTTAAAGCAAATGCAAGTGATGTGAGAGGTGGAATCTGATCGGTCAATAGGAAGGACATAGAGGGACATAGCTCGTAATATCCACTGGTGGCGCTACAATCGAGCCCCGGAATTCCAGCGTAGTTCGGCAAGGGTGGAAACTGGACTTTTGTAGTCAGTTAACTCCCTTGATTCGCGAAGATGTCAACTTGTGCTGAGATTGTTAACAGATTGTTTGATGTTATCCAAACCAATTTGTCCTGGTCTGAAAGAGATGTAATAGATCCTACAGTGCCACAGGATTTTAAAGAACTTTATATTGTCTATAAAATATTATGGCATCTAACATAAGATATATTATGTGGCGTGTTTTATCTTTGTCCACATATAGACACTCGCACCAGTGTTATTGAATGCTATATGATGCCTGTGATAGGAAATACTTAAATTGGGCTTCTCATATTAGAAACTGGTGTCTAGTTACGGCTTCGGGCATGTAGGATATCCCAGGGAGTTGGTGATAAAGAAGCATTTATCTTTGTTCTGAAAAAAACGTATCCTTGGCTGATACATAAAACATTCATTCACTTCTCATAGATGAACGATCACTGTTATTTTTTTCCACCATGACATCAGAACTTCAGTTTGAATCGTATGTCCAAAATATTAATGTACTTTAACACAGAAGGCCTGGATAAAATTTAGAAGTGGATATAATACCTTTGGTGTTAAAAACGTACGTAAAGGTAAATGCAATGTAGGTGATGGAGACTCTCTCTACTTTCATGTCTAGAAGATGAAAAGCACGTTTGTTTCGTATGTCCTCTGTATAACGATTCACGGACACGTTGTAAAGTTTAACAAACTACCATGCCCACGATATGTCTATAAATAATTGTAGAATATTTGAGAACATATTTCATCTGTCAAAATATATGCATAAAGTATTTACAATAAGCCGGAGATGTAATGTTACCCAAACATCATGCTGCAGGTGCAATATAAGATTACTGTATAATAAACATGTATGTAAAATGGGTCATATGGCCTTGAAAAACAATAAACTGAATCAATCGTAGAATCGTAGATTTCTTATGAATATGTAGTTTTTATTTACCTTACATAGCTCCTCTGCACACCATCCAATAACGGGGCGGTTGGGTAGCCTAGTGGTTTAAGCTTTCGCTCGTCACGCCGAAGACCCGGGTTCGATTCCCGACATGCGTACAATGTGTGAAGCCCATTTCTGGTGTCCTTCGCCGTGATATTGCTTGAATATTGCTATAAGCGGAGTAAAACCATACTCGCGTAAAACCCTACTCACTCACTCACTCACTCATCTAATAACGGTCCATCACAGCACGTTATAGTGGCATCGGATGCCAGTCATCTTTTTCTTGGACTGATGTCATATAAGTTGGCAGCCATTATGGACGTGAGGTTTCCCTTGTTCATTGTGAGCTCTTTCAGGGAACCTGTCTTCCAAACTCTCAGTTATCCGTACCTTTGGTCAGATGTAGGACGAAGTCAATGACCACAGAGCTACAAGCATAGTCGCCTTTTATGGCAAGCATGGGTTGCTGAAGACCTATTCTACCCCGGATCTTCACGGGGGAGACAAGCATGGGTTGCTGAAGACCTATTCTACCCCGGATCTTCACGGGGGAGACAAGCATGGGTTGCTGAAGACCTATTCTACCCCGGATCTTCACGGGGGAGACAAGCATGGGTTGCTGAAGACCTATTCTACCCCGGATCTTCACGGGGGAGACAAGCATGGGTTGCTGAAGACCTATTCTACCCCGGATCTTCACGGGGGAGACAAGCATGGGTTGCTGAAGACCTATTCTACCCCGGATCTTCACGGGTCTGCCAGAGGGTGTGGTGTAAGGCCAAACAAAAACCTTTGTAGTATTTTATTTGAAACTTCATCACTGTACACCTATGTACTGTTTTGCTTGCAGGCGACGGCTCAAACCAATAGAACTCATCCCCGAAGCACAGTTATCAAGGCTGAAAATTCCATGGTTCCACCTGTCTTAAAATGCTTTCTGTAGCCAGAGAGGGCGACAATTAAAGGCACAACCGAAATTACATTTGCTTTTGAAACTTTCTCAGCTATGCCCACAGAATGTATATCTTGGTGACTCTGCTTGAGTGATAGGTTTTTGTTTGTTTGATCTTCATATGTCATATGAAACAGGAAGTAATATACTTAAAGGCAAAAGCAAAAATGACTTTGCTCAACATTATGATACAATGAAAAGTGTTTGGTATGCAACTTGTTTTTCAATACAGGAAGGGACATAATCCAAACTGGAAGCACTATTAACTAACTTACATATTAAGCTACAGCCATAATACTTTCTCGGTTGAAGTTCTAATGTATTAAGCGGGGGCACAGGTGCGATTCGCTGTGCAGAGTTGCGTCCCTTGGGCACGCCAGAAACCAATGATTGTGGGTTCGAATCCCGGTACGCCCCGATTAAGAAACTATGAACCTTTCGTTTCTCGTAATAAATCAGATAAATTTTAGGACTGCTTCCGTGGTCAAGTTGAAAGAGTGTCTGCCCGGAGTGGGGGCTCGGTGGTTCGATCCCTTGCCACGTCATGCCAAAATATGTTAAATTATGGTATTTTTTGTTACCCTGCCTGGCATTCTGCATCAAGGGAAGAAAAGCTGGTTATCTCTACGTCAGTATTATAAATGTGTGTGATTGGGGTACCCATGTTAAACAGCAGATGGTAACACTGCGCACACAACGCTTGCAGTATCCACTTACTGATAATGTTATTATGATATAATTACTCTTGTTTGAGTTTCAGTTTAAGCTTGTACAGCAGTATCAAACAGGTCAACATGTGCCCTCATGTTGCACCAGTGGTGAGCAGTGAATTAATCAATAGTCATTACTTTCTGGAGGTGAGGTGAAATGAGGTTTAACGTCGCGTCCATGATTATTGGACTAATATAGCACGTGAGTGCGGACGAATGCCAATTCTATAGTGCCAGCCCACTGAGATACCATGCCACAGTTTGACATGAATACCCAACTCAGACGCTAAATATTTTTTCCCCGAGCCGACCAGTCCTTGTTTTAGCCGAGCGCCAGACAGGGTAACAACAAGTACCATTTTTTAAACAACGTTTTGTAAAATTCGGCCGGGGATTGAACCCCACTCTCCATCTAGGCCAGGAGACAGTCCTTCTTCCTTGAAATGGACAACTTTTGGTTTCATTTCTGTGAAACTCCATTATTCCAAGTATTCAATGCACCACTGTGTGTGTATATATGTATTATCTCACTTACCATAATGTTCAATAAGGGGAATCACCACTGGGAAGTACACTGGTTTCATACCTAGAAATAGATCTGACGACATCCAACCCTTCACATTCGTATCTCCGATCAATCAGCGACTGGCGACAAACCTGTGTACCTGTGCATATACCTGTAATCAAGCAGACATTACTGCCACATTGTGCACTGACAGCCTCGCACTCAACACCATGGAGAACCATGTAAGTAATGCTGTCAACAGTGTCCTGGTGATAAATGTACAGTTTTAACCTTAAAATTTATATAAATTACTTTACCAACAGCAAGTGTGGCAAGTGTATTTATGATGCTTTAGTGTCATTCCTCTTGTTAAAAAGACTGAAAACTTTCTCTAAGTATCTATTCTTTTTCCAGAACTCCTACCAATCATATCTTGAATTCGTGACTACTGAAGCCGATCCTCCATCACTGAAGCTGACCATAAAATGGCATGACATGTCCAAGGTACTTGTGACAGTCAGTGACCAGCTTGGCCAATTGAAAAGACTTACGCTGTTTGAAAGGAGCAAAGTCAATCGTTTACGTTGTTCAGGATTTTCAAACTCTGAGCAGTATACTATCGAGGTTTTTGGCCTGAGACAGTCCACCCCAACAAATCAAGTCAGACCCTCGCCTGCTACAGTCTACTCTGTGGAGGCAGGAAAGAAAGTTGTCATTTCTCGAGTTTCTGGACTTCAAGGTAGGTCAATATTTGTCGGTTTTAGTGTGTGTGTGTGTGTGTGTGGCTACTTGTATTAATCCAGATGAATGCTGGTTTGATAGTGCTGGCGTACTGAGATACCATGCCGTAGTTTAACAAGGATACTCCACTCAGACACAGTATACTGACTCCGAGTCCCTTTATACCCTTAATGCTGAGAACTAGGCATGGTAATAAGTGGGATCCTTTAACACCTTGTTATGATGCACGGTCCTTCTGCACTCCTGGCAGACGCTCTATCCACTAGGCAGTGGTCTTCAGCTGGATAGGTGTGCAATCTCATTAAAATCAGAACTTAGTTTTCGCTACCGCTATTTAAAGATCTGAGGACATTCCATTACGGTTCACGTCAGAACGACCGTTCGCGAACTTTGACCAACCAGTGAAATGATTGACAAGAAATTGATATGAGCCAACCAGGAGGCAGCTTTTTTTAGCTTTACGACACTAGTTTGAACTTGGCGACTACGTTTCGAAACATATTTTGACGTATTCTCGATTAAAACTTTTACAACTAATCAAAAGAACATTCTGGAATGGCTTATAGATGGCCTAGATTGTCAAAAAAACGTAACTGTCGTTACCTCTGTTACATCTTTCGAGGTTGCATGATGAGAAAACACATTCTGACTGTCAGTTTCATGATCTGATAAGCGACGCTCTGATTGGTTGGATGGAAGGTCGTTATGATGTGAACCGTAATGGGATGTCCTCAGATCTCTGCTTAGCGGTAGCGAGAACGTAGATCTGATTTTAGTGAGATTGGATAGGTGTGCTATGAACCTATCACCGACAATCCCCTTGTTTCCCGCATTATCCACTGAATAAAGCGGTAGATGGGACGAGGCTTCAACATAACCTCAACAAAACAGATGGTGTCAGTTTGAAATGCCTTGAACAATTACCAAATGTCCAGTATCATAAAACCAAATATTTATTTGAGATTAAAATATTGATTTATTTTCGCAAATTAGCATAAATATATGCTCTCCTAAAAAGTAGGGGATTGTAAAGTATTCATGTTATGATCGGTCGTCAAACCATGCAATTTCTCCGTGGGGAACACTTCAGTGAAAAGTCGTCAAATCTCTCTCAGACATTAGTATTGTTAATTTTATTTAGCCATAGCACCACGTAAAATCTCTACTAGTGCTTTAATGCACTGTATGCGATCAGGATAGGAACGTGTCATCTACAATGTGATTAACACATAAGGGCTATTCGCATGCTTCAAACTGGTAGGTTTTAGCGAGAGGTATCGTAACTGACTACTTCCAGTAGCAAAAACATCCCCCGAATGCATTGACTAGCCATCAGTCCTGACCCTTTCCCCAAGAAAGCACCCCATGGACATGCTTGGGAGACGTGTACGCCGTCGCTAAACACATTTACTTAAACCGAACTGGACCAGGCACTGCTAGAGGACATTTCAGATGACTGGATCAGTAATGGCTCGTTGGTTGTTCGCACCCTTACAATACACCGCCAACAAGTTCTGTTGGTTGTTTACACCCTTACAATACACCGCCAACATGTTCTGTTGGTTGTTCGCACCCTTACAATACACTGCCAACGTGTTCTGTTGGTTGTTCGCACCCTTACAATACACCGCCAACATGTTCTGTTGGTTGTTCGCACCCTTACAATACACCGCCAACATGTTCTGTTGGTTGTTCGCACCCTTACAATACACTGCCAACGTGTTCTGTTGGTTGTTCGCACCCTTACAATACACCGCCAACATGTTCTGTTGGTTGTTTACACCCTTACAATACACCGCCAACATGTTCTGTTGGTTGTTCGCACCCTTACAATACACCGCCAACATGTTCTGTTGGTTGTTTACACCCTTACAATACACCGCCAACATGTTCTGTTGGTTGTTCGCACCCTTACAATACACTGCCAACGTGTTCTGTTGGTTGTTCGCACCCTTACAATACACTGCCAACATGTTCTGTTGGTTGTTCGCACCCTTACAATACACCGCCAACATGTTCTATTGGTTGTTCGCACCCTTACAATACACCGCCAACATGTTCTGTTGGTTGTTTACACCCTTACAATACACCGCCAACATGTTCTGTTGATTAGTATGTTACACCTTGTCCTTCTTATCCATCCATCACCATCACTCTCCCATTGTATTTCAGTAATCATCTGTAATTATCAAACATCACCTTCATTTTATGGAGGGTATATGTAGGAATACATGTATAACTCAATCTGGTTGTTTGTTTGTTCGTTGTTTAACACTGCTCTCAGCAATTAATAACATGATATCTAATACCTCAATCTGACAGCACAGAGTAAACGTATTCATTTATTGCAGAGAGGGTAGAAGTCGTAGACCTGGGTGTTTCCCAATATCATTTCTTTAGTGACAGAATGATCGACATGCTCAAGACACAGGTAAGCACGGGGTGTCCTTGCATGCAATTGAAACGATCTCTTAAAACTAGGTGCATGGGTTTAGAACTTCATGCACAAAGCCTAACACGTTGAGTAATATCTACAGTATAGAACACCTTGACGTGGGCTGAAGATTGGGCAAGATTTAAGAATTAAACTTTCACTTTGACTGAGTTAATTGGAGTATGAACCTTGAGACAGCAAGGGCCAAACTGCATGTTGAAACGTTCATACTTCAATGAACTCACACAGTGAATGTGAATTCTCATTTTTTTTTCACATAACTATATTTTCATACCTGTGACTGGCCTTTCGCCCTATGGAAAGCGCCTCTCACCCAATGGAAAAGCGTATATAACGTAAAATAGTAAAATTGTGTGTGGTTGTCATCAAGTAAATTCATCAATTGAGTTTTTGATGTGGGAAATGTGAATTTTAACCCATCCATATATGTCCCACAAACAGTTGAAAGGAAGCATAGATTTCCATTATCAAAACTAGTTTGATCCTCTTGCACACATCAAGTTCTTGAAAATTTAAATGTTGTTCAAAATAGTTGAATTACATAAGATCACACCACAAATTTCATTTGATAAATGTCTTGGTAACTTCAACAGGACCTCCTTCTGATGGAGGTGAAAGAGAGGTCTCAGTTGGACAACAACTATCAAAAACTTCCAGGACCTTCTGACAGTGAGGCAGGCCACAGACCTCCAGTAGACTACATCCTTCAACCAGCAACATATTCCAGCTGTACAGCAAGTCTGTGTGTTGTGTTCTGTGAGGGAAGTCAGAAGGAGTATGTTGTGATGTCTTCCACCCCGGTAAGCACTGGCATACAACTCCTGCCAGTCTGTCGGTCCAGGACCAAATACAGGGTCAGGGCTGTCGGACTCAAAGATTACCAAGTGTATCGTTTTGACCAGCCATCCCCTGTCTGCTACCTGTACGAATGTCATGAATCAACAAAAGCCTTCTCCATCAAGACTTGTAAGTTGGACATATTTTTTATTTTTTTCAATCCTAGATCTTGTTAACTCTCTCAATGCTCCTTTTTATGACATTATTTTAAAATCCTGAAAACTGAAAGTGAGAAAATTAGAATCCGGATACAATGGGGTAGCATGTAAATAAAATATTTAGCACACAATAACAGAGATAAGACAGACCTTTTCAGGAAGTTTTGGCACATGACATTCTTCATCTTTCAGGCATGTCCAAAGAGGAATTACAACAGCTGAAAACCATGGCAGTCACTTACTGTCGGAGCAAGTCTCGGTACCCTGGGAAATACACCATCAAACAGTTCTACCGCAATAAGCCTGTGCACTACTACACACACATCATGTCCAACAGAGGTGGAGTGATGGAGAAGTACATCAAGGACAACAATGGCGACCCATATTCTGCGATCAACAAGAAGATTAACGGACTCTTCTTCAGTGGGTCACTGGATGCCCGCACACGGAAGCCACCAGACTTCTCGTTCTTTGGAGACAAACGACTTTTCATCCCTGCAGAGGAACTGTTTACATGGGACACCAGGATGTATTTTGCAGACTTCTACTGTCACAATGTCGTCCACTACGTCACAGTTGTGGTCACAAAGAAGGAATCAGCTGAAGACAGATTCTGTGAGGGAAGACTTATTGAACTGGACTTAAAGGATAATCCTTTTTTCACCATCAAAGAAGAGCCCTCATACATAGCTCTGGATGGAACATCCTACCAGGATTTGGGAGACACATCATACCTATACAGAAAGCCTTTCTCAATGCATGACAGACTTGCACAACAAACAGGGCTCATGAGTACTGAACACTTTGTTTCTGCCATGTATCAACCCCCATCCAGGCAAGTTAGGCAACTGGCTTCATCTCTGGGTGAGTGTACTGCCAGTTACTCCAGATCTGGAGGAAGGGTGGCTAAGAAGACATTCACAATGGTGTCGGTTGACGAGTTCCATGTGGAGTTTTTGTACACAGAGGATGTCGACATCAGAGGGTTACAGAGCAGATGCGGGGAGGGCAAGGTGTATTTTGAGTATGTTTGTACTCGAGGAAGAGGTCAGAGCCGGACAGAAGGAATTCCAAAGAAGGCATCATGCAGAACATGTAACCTTGAACGACATCCCACCTTTTTCTAAATGTGAACATGAAAAGATATGTCATATTATCATCAATACTGACTTATACTCAATGTGATATCAATACAGACTGTGGCTTAATTAGGAGATAAACCTACTTTTGTTTTGAAATTTGATGTAGTCCCACTGTAGATTAGATACCTCTTATTTTAATTTGGAACTGCGAGCACTTTAGCAGGATGTTTCAAATGTATCTACTCTACAGTGGAACTACATCAAGTCTGTACTCTACAGAGGTTCATCGCAACCTGTTGTGCACTGTTTGGACTCACCAAGTCATTTCTTGGAAATCAGTGAGAGAAGTCTGTTCTTGGAAATCGAATATGCCATTTGCATTGTAGGGGTGACAGGTTGTAGAAATATTTTTTAAAATGCTAAACGAATATATTTTTCCAACAAACTTTATGAATTACCATTCTACTATTTATTTTACATGTGTCAGTCTTATTAGTTGGGCCGGAGAGCGGAAGGTCGGAGGTTCGATCCCCGGCCGCGTCATACCAAATGACGTTAAAAGATGGTACTTGTTGTTACCCTGTCTGGCGCTCGGCATTAAGGGGATAAAACAAGGACTGGTCGGCTCGACGTCAGTATACTGTGTCTGAGTGGGGTATTCATGTTAAACTGTGGCATGGTATCTCAGTGGGCTAGCACTATAAAACGGCATCAGTCCAGACTTGCACACACGCACACACACCCACACGCACACACGCACGCACGCACGCACGCACGCACGCACGCACACACACACAGAGATATTTGACACAAGGAATCTACATGATTTGACCTGTCACTTTCAAAGCCAGTGTGTGAAAGCAATGAGACATTTGTGGCCCAGAAACAGTGGTTCATGTATGATTTTCTTAAATGTGCGTGTTCTCAAATGAATTTCATCAAGTTTGATAAGCTATCGTGATACTGTTATCTACAAGATGTACATACACCGAATTATGGAAATATCAACATAACAAACTAGCTGTTATCAAAACAACAGTGATAGATAATGTTGCTATATCAAAGTATATTACCATTTTGTTCTCTTTTCACAAGTGAGTGGGTGAGTATGGTTTTACGCCGCTTTTAGCAATATTCTAGCGGCAGGGGACACCAGAAATGGGCTTCACCCGGGCCTTCAGCGTGACAAGCAAACGCTTTAGCCACTAGGCTACCCCACCGCCCCTCTTTTCACAAATCACTTAAACATTGATCATACTTTCATGTTCTGACTTAGCCAAGTAGAACAAGAGACGTTGTGTACAATATACACAGAATTATTTATATGTACATCATATGTATAAGATGCTAACAAATATATATAGCAATGGCGAGACACTTCCCAGGGAGCGTTTTCCTTGGAAGGACAATATCTATTCTAACTTACATGTATACATGGTCCACCATTGGTTGGGGCAGGTTGCCCAATCACACAAGGTTAGCTAGGTGGTGTTGGACAAACCACATTTGGGATTAACATTTAGATGAATGTAAATATGAGGTTTTGAACTATGTGGAACCATTTACTAGATGTTTAAGATGAATAGCCCTTGGCAATTAGGGTGCTGCCTAAATTAACCGGTATTGAATACTATGTATTTAAGCAATGTAGACAATGTTGCATGTTATTTTTTGTAATGTTTCTTATGTTGGATTCTGGGGCTTAAGGCTTGTTTACATTGATTCTTAGATATCCAAATTAAGTCATAGCTTAAATGACATTAATGTTAGATCAAACATTGTTTCAATAGAGATAATTATTGAAATGGTTTGGTTTATGTAACAGAGTATTTATGGTTTAATATTTTGGTGATTTATAACATTACAATGATATTTTATTTTAATACTTTATGCATTAAAGAATATTTTATGAATAACTACCATAACACGTTTTCTTACAGTTTTCATAGTTTTAAGCTTTGAGCATCATTGCACAACTTAGGTTGTTAGTTAACGACCATGATAATACTTATACTCATAATTAGTTTGATGATTCCACAGATAGCTTGGAGTTGAACTTTTTTGACAATGATGCAACAATTTTGTTACGGAAATATTAGATTCCACAATTCAAAAAGAAAACAATCCGCTATTCAAAATCTGAAAAACTTAAAAAGACAGGGAGTTGATGGACTAATAACAGAATTTTTTAAATACTCTCTTGATAACATCCTGTCGTATTTGGAAATATTATTTAATACAACAATGATACCTCTTACTTTCCAAAGGATTGGACACTTGGTCCTATCGTTCCAATTCACAAGAAAGGCGCAGTGACAGGTGTTATATAAATTTTAGGGGGGTTGCACTAACCAGTATATTCAGTAAGATATTTATTAGAATTATTAATGAACCATTGTTAATATGTTTATCCTCCAGGCTGTTATAGATAGGTATATTCAACCTAAACGTGGAAACTTGTACGCTATATTTGTAGACTTTCCTAAAGCTTTTGATTAGTTATGGTATCTATTTAATTCACATTGTGTCAGAAATAAAATGGGCAAATTGTTATGTAGTATTTATAGAGGGAAGTTAAATCATGTGTGAAACAAAATATCGTGTATTCAGATTATTTTATTTGCCATACTGGTGTACGCCAAGGATATGTATAAAGCCCTTTCTTGTTCTGTTTTTGTTGTTGTTATTAATGAGCTTGCAGTTAAAATGAAAAGAAATTTTGACTGGTACACAATTTCATCCTGAACTAATAAAAAAAATTATGTTATTATTTGCAGATGATAGAATCATGTTCTCAAGTACTGCCAAAGGTTCACAAACTTTGATAATTCAGTTAGAAATACACTGTAATACGTGGAAACTTAATGTTAATTTGGATAAGACAAAAAAATGTTGTATTTAGCAAAGGAAATATGCTGTCAAAGAATGAAAAGTGGTACGTTCGGGGACATTTGCTTCAAACTGAAACCTCTTATAAATATCTTGGTGTAATATGTTCCAGTAAATTATCAAGGAACCGACATATGCGTAATGCAGCCATCCAAGCAAAAACAAACTAATTGGGAATTTTACAGACATTTGTAAATTTTAGGGACTGTGTATAAATCTTTCTTCAAAATCATTGACACAAAAATAGCTCCTATTCCTTCCTATGGTTCGGAAATATGGGGTTTTGCAGAGGCTAAAGCAATTGAATCCGTACATTTATACGCTCGTAAAAGATTTCTTGGTGTTAAACATAGTACGTCTAACATAATGGTTTGTGGTGAATGTGGTCGCATGCCCTTGTATATATATCTCTACTTAAAAATCATAAGATATTGGTTGAAATTATTAAAAATGCATGAAAGCAGATTACCAAAATGTATAATATGATGTTATTGTATGGAAAAAATGGAGTTCAAAATTGGGCAAACAATGTTAAATGTCTACTGTATAAACTAGGGTATGATTACATTTGGGACAACCAATATTTCCTAGAGAATCATGCCATTTTCATATAAAAAATGGACAGACATTTATTGACGTGTACTTTCAAACATGGAGATCTACTGTAGATGTTTCTAGCAAATACGAATATTATAGATATTTTAACAAGAAAAAATGTGCAGAAATTTATTTAACTGATGTAAATATAAGAACATGCAGAATATCGTTAGCACAATTTAAATGCAGTTCACACAGGTTAATGGTTGAAGTTGTATGTTGTAAATATCATAATTTAAGGGGGAAAATATGTTGAGCAAAAATATTATGTACATCCAAATAAACACAAATTTATCTTTTTAATGTCACATGTGAGCAAAACGACTGTAAGAAATCTATCTCTATTTATATATCATACCATGTTATTCAGAAATGAATCCTTGTGACATTTGTAAGCGTTTCCACATTGTCATGTATTCTGTACTAAGGGCCTGTGACCTTAGTTATATATGAATAAACTGAATTGAATTGAAATTAGTTTGTGAATTTAATTTGGAAATCTACATACACAGTGATGTCACACTTTCAAAAATGCTGTACCACTTGCTCAAATCAGTTCAAATATTACAAAAAAGATTTTGTGTGACACAGAGATCTATCTTGTGCCTGCAATTCGGCTCCCATTACCTCAAATGCAAACAGCAAATTTAATGATGTCAGTGTAACCATAGAGACTCTCAATTTTTATTTTTTTATTTAAAACAGTAAACATGTACCTGGCCAATGTCATAACTAAGTCTTGTCACCAGTAATAACACATTAGCATAAATTCATCAACCCTGTATCTGTCAATACCAAGTTTACAGTTCAGGGATTTTTTAGTTATTTCATCATAAAGTAAAATTTGTCTGACCAAGACTTTCCACACACAAATTGTAGGACAAAAAGACTATTTATCAGTCATCAGCACTCGCAGGCTCAATCCCAAGGTTTCATTGGTTTATGCTACAAGACAACTATGAAAATGAAATTAGAGTATAACCTTCCCTTTACAAATAACATTACATTTAAAGTCTATACTAGACTGATGTATAACTCACAACAGAAGTACATTTCATGTCAACCCTCACTGACGAGACCACACTTCTCTGTATAGAGGTCATTAGACATGGCTGACAATTCATTTCCAGGAAGCAGAATCAATATCCCTGTGAAAGAGTTAACAAGAACTGAAACCAAAACTTGTCCATTTCGTGGAAACAGAGAATATTGATCTAGATCTGGTGCCTTATAAACAAATGTGTTTCACTTGAAGTAGACTCAAACAGCAGAATCAAAGCAGATATTTCAGATGATATGTAGAGATAATCACACCTTTCACAGAGTAATGCGCTCTTGTTCTATAAATAGCTCAGGGAAATTCCAGGTTTTGTTATTATCTGTCTGTGTCAGTGTGACCCAGTCAAGCCCAGTATTCAATGCCCAGCATATCATGAAATTAAAGAGGCAATGTCAGGTCACAATTACAAGCAATACTATTTTTTTCATTGGGAAATATTAGAGACCAGAGTGCAGATAAGTTTTCCTCATGTCTTATCGTAATTTGCCATTTACTTGATTTCAAAGTTTATATAATTTTCTTTCAATATACTGTTTTGTATTTGAATAAAAACACACTGATTTCAAAGTCTATTTAATTTTCTTTCAATATACTGTTTTGTATTTGAATAAAAACAAACTGATTTCAAAGTCTATTTAATTTTCTTTCAATATACTGTTTTGTATTTGAATAAAAGCACACTGATTTCAAAGTCTATTTAATTTTCTTTCAATATACTGTTTTGTATTTGAATAAAAGCACACTGATTTCAAAATCTATTTAATTTTCTTTCAATATACTGTTTTGTATTTGAATTATAAAATCCATAAAATGAGAACTAAAGACACTGAAAATCAATAGTTTGCCTACACAGTCAATCTTTTGTGTCATTTTATTCTTGAACTATAACACTGAACAATACTGAACAATAAACCTTAAATGCCTTCAATCTAATCTATATCAGACTCATGTACCAAGCGATTAAATGATTTATGTGCACAGGAGTGGCCTTGCCCTCTCCCTTATATGGACTTAGGGCTGAAATACCAAGAACCTCAAGAAGTGAACGTACAAGTCAGTGACAGGCGTGGTTACACAGGCATGAATGCAGGAGCCATTAACAATAACAAAAACACCATGGACAATTGTGTAATTGCTATAGAATCTATTACCGTATTCGACGTAATAAGCGCCCCGCTCTTATAAGCGCCCACGGCGATAATTGCATATATATTGGCTAGTGAACAATTCCAATTAGCACCCCTTCCGATTGATCAATGTACACAAGACTTATTTATTCGCTTATAATACGCATTCGTGTGTTATATGCACCCTTAATTATGGGCAATTAAATTCTGAAAAAACATATCTGTCGTATATAAACATTTCAGGCTGTCAGCATAAACCACGAAATTTATCTTTCAACTCTGTTTTTTCCACCAAAATAATATTCCAATAAGAGCCTCCTATTTCTAATTTTGAGAGCGCGCTGGGCGCTTATTATGTCGAATACGGTATATACATTAGTGCATGAGTAACTACATGAATAGGGTTGATAGAGAGCTAGCTTATATAGCAATATTCCAGCTACATGCAGGCAGGTGGGGAATAATCAAGTCTAGATTAAATAATCCAATAAGTGACTTTAAGAGCATCGATCTACGCAATTGGGATGCAATGACACGCATCAACCAAGTCAGCGAGCGTGACCACCTATCCGTTAGTTGCCTCTTATATTACAAGCATGGGCTGCTGAAGACCAATTCTAACCCGGATGTTCACGGGGTCTGTTTGCATATTTAGAGTTTCCAGTGAGTGAATGGGAGTTAATGGCCCTGTAACTTGTGTCAAACACAGGTTCTTGGGACGTACTTAAAAGTGAAAGAGTGAGTTAAAATTTGACGTCACATCGGCAGTATTTCAGCCATATCGTGACGTCGTACTTAAGATTTGACTTTATTTTATTTACTTTTTTATGGAGTTATGTAAGGCTGGTGTGCATACTGTGTAACTCTGTGTGGTGGGCGAGAAGCATCCTTGATCAACCAGGGTTTTAAAGCTTCATTCCATTATCATTAATATCCAGGACTCAATCACCACATACCTTTGTTTAGACCTTGATTATGATACAAGGATAAAAAGTATCAAATTGACCCATCTACTTCTGAAGCTTTGATTAGAATTCCAATTTTAATAACACAAATGAGACTATACAACATGAATGTTAATGTCATACTTATTTGAAAATGAGAACTTCATTCATTCATTCATTCATTCATTCATTCAATCATTCATTCATTCATTCATTCATTCATTCATTCATTCATATTGGAGTTGATTGTACATCTATTCAGAATAAAAATTATTAAAAACAAAGTTATATATTTCTTCTGAGTTATCACGCATCAGTAATTTCATTTAAAACCAGTGACACCAGTTGGACATAAAATGGGGCAACATGTCCCGTGTTCTCGTTGCTGTCACCAACCAGTTCGGCTATCTGGAACGTATTCTGTTCCTGGAGAGATGTCAGAGACCTGAAAGACAACCCAGGTACCGGCGCCGTCAGAGACCCACTGGTGGCATCATGTGCTGTGGAGGCATCGGAGAATGCTTCAGTTCCACACTCTGGTGAAGCAGGTTTGTCAAAGCTGTATGATGTTCATGATGCTAAAAACTGACATCTATTTCTCAATGGCATTCTTTCATTATTATTGCACCAATGAGGTTAAATGGGATTTAATGTCACATTAAAGATTTTTGCTCTTATACAGTATCAAGTATGCATGTGCTTGTCTGGACTAATGCCATTTTTATTGTGATAGCTGAGAAAACATGCTGCAATTTAACATGGATACCCCACTCAGACACAGTGTACTCTAAGCCGACCAGTCCTTGTTTTATCACCTAAATGACAAGCACCAGGCAGGGTGACAACAAAGTCCTGTGCCTCTTTATTCATCCATGCGGTGGGAAAGCCTTGTGGTTAAAGTGTTCGCTTGCCACGCCGAAAACCCAGGTTCGATTCCCCACATGGGTACAATGTGTGAAGCCTATTTCTAGTGTTCCCCGACCTGATATTGCTGGAATATTGCTAAAAATCAATACTCACTCACTCACTATATTCATCCCTGATTCCTAACTGTGCCAAATCCAGTACAACAATGTCCTGTGCCTCTATTCATCCCTGATTCCTAATTGTGCCAAATGCAGTACAACAATGTCCTGTGCCTCTCCATTCATCCCTGATTTCTAATTGTGCCAAATGCAGTACAACAAAGTCCTGTGCCTCCATAAATTCATCCCTGATGCCTAATTGTGCCAAATGCAGTACAACAATGTCCTGTGCCTCTCCATTCATCCCTGATTTCTAATTGTGCCAAATGCAGTACAACAAAGTCCTGTGCCTCCATAAATTCATCCCTGATTTCTAATTGTGCCAAATGCAGAACAAGAAAGTCCTGTGCCTCCATAAATTCATCCCTGATTCCTAATTGTGCCAAATGCAGAACAAGAAAGTCCTGTGCCTCCATAAATTCATCCCTGATTTCTAATTGTGCCAAATGCAGAACAAGAAAGTCCTGTGCCTCCATAAATTCATCCCTGATTCCTAATTGTGCCAAATGCAGTACAAGAAAGTCCTGTGCCTCTGTTCACCCTTCATGCCTTACTGTGTCATATTCAGTACAACAAACATGTATTCCCATTCGTTTCATAATGACAATTGTCTGCTGGAATGTCATGTCAATCTACTGAGTCTTGTTTTTGTTCAAAATTCTTTGCAACTATGTCACAAGTCATATGACATATTATAAGAGCCTCCGTACAACCTACAGCTTTAAAGAATGCTAATCCGGATGTATGCAAACACGTGACACAGTTTCTATAGCCCGTATGTGTGGCATACACAATTCTCTGATATTAAATCCTAGAAACTAAACAGAAAGTAGCACAGTACTAAGAAATAGATGACACTACTTTCCTGAGAGCTGCACCCATGTGAGGGGGGTCATTTAGGTGTTACTGTGCTTCTCGGTAACATGTCACGCAGCAGCACCTTCAGATTATTTATTAATTAATTCAACTATTTAAACAGATTTCTTTGAAGCTGCAGTTCTAAGGCCATTGACATGGGATACTCTGAATTAACTCATGGCCCACCATGTTTAGAACTAACTTCTCAGAAGCAGTCTGACTGTTCTAGACATGACAGAGAGGCTACCTGACCCAACCACTGTACTACGTTACAACTGAAATATTGATGCTCTTTGTGATAATTTCCTGAATCATGGTAGGAAATAGAAGCAAACATCTACATATTAGCATTTAGTGATTAGAACTAGATGCCTTTATGTTAGGCTTGGCACAGTTGCTAATATTATTACAGCGAAATACCTTCATTCCGTGCCGTTTTGCATGGTGCCATCGTCTCTGGCCTAGATCTGCTCTTGGCACGTCCAGTAAAGGAGCGTTTGTTTATATTTTCTATGACCTGTTGTAGCGTGACATCAGCTCACGCAGGACTTGCTCTCCAGCTTTCAGCCGTACAACACATAGTTATATTCGCACATTCATCTATAGTTCGTTGCACCCACCCACCAACCCTGTTATCCATAATTCCAAGTTATTCAAGCTTTGCAGTTGTCAATTGGTGGAATTTTACTGGAGCATAATGTTTGTATATAATGATGTTGTCATGAATAAAATGTTGCGGATGGGCGGGGTGCTGGTGGACTGCATTACAAGTTACATTTGGTGTCTTGGGATACATCCCAAATTATAAATTATTTAGGATAGGGTTTCCCGCTTTACAGCAGGGACCAATTTATCCATTCTGCTTTACAGCAGATGGCTTAGTGTCCGCTTTACAGCGGATGGTCAGCTTGGCAACAATAGTTGCCCTCGCTCATGGTTTGGCAATGGTACTTGCCTGGCAGCGATAGCTGCATTGCAACATGGGTTGCTTGGCAACGGTTGCTGCAGTTGGGGTTGCTTAAAAGGGGTTAAGCTCATTGCTGCAGTCCACCAGTACCTCCATATCCGCGACCATTTCATCCAATAATATCTCTTATCTTAATTTCAAGCTCCGCTATCATGCATGATGGCGGAGCCTGTCATAATGGAGCCATGTCCTTATATATTATGTAATTGATGATATCTAAATCAGAGTTAGAAATTGTCACTAGTCCTGGCTACATTGACCTGGTACATAACTATTAACAACAGAAATATTGCGCCATGACAACAGACATCTTGCGTCATGACAACACACATCTTGTGTCATGACAACAGACATCTTGTGTCATGACAACAGACATCTTGTGTCATGACAACAGACATCTTGTGTCATGACAACAGACATCTCTTGTCATGACAACACACATCTTGTGGCATGACAACACACATCTTGTGGCATGACAACAGACATCTTGTGTCATGACAACAGACATCTCTTGTCATGACAACAGACATCTTGTGGCATGACAACAGACATCTTGTGTCATGACAACACATATCTTGTGGCATGACAACAGACATCTTGTGGCATGACAACAGACATCTTGTGGCATGACAACAGACATCTCTTGTCATGACAACACACATCTTGTGGCATGACAACAGACATCTCTTGTCATGACAACACACATATTGTGTCATGACAACAGACATCTTGTGTCATGACAACAACATACATCTTGTGGCATGACAACAGACATCTTGTGTCATGACAACAGACATCTTGTGTCATGACAACAACATACATCTTGTGTCATGACAACAACAGATATATTGTGTCATGACAACAACAGACATCTTGTGTCATGACAACAATAGACATATTGTGTCATGACAACAGACATCTTGTGTCATAACAACAACAGACATATTGTGTCATGACAACAGACATCTTGTGTCATAACAACATACATTTTGTGTCATGACAACAACAGACATCTTGTGTCACGACAACAACAGACATATTGTGTCATGACAACAGACATCTTGTGTCATGACAACAACAGACATCTTGTGTCATGACAACAACAGACATCTTGTGTCATGACAACAACAGATATATTGTGTCATGACAACAACAGACATATTGTGTCATGACAACAATAGACATATTGTGTCATGACACTAGACATCTTGTGTCATGACAACAACAGGCATCTTGTGTCATGACAACAGACATCTTGTGTCATAACAACATACATTTTGTGTCATGACAACAACAGGCATCTTGTGGCATGACAACAGACATCTTGTGTCATAACAACAACAGACATCTTGTGTCATAACAACAACAGACATCTTGTGTCATAACAACAACAGACATATTGTGTCATGACAACAGACATCTTGTGTCATAACAACATACATTTTGTGTCATGACAACAACAGACATCTTGTGTCATGACAACAACAGACATCTTGTGTCATGACAACAACAGATATATTGTGTCATGACAACAACAGACATCTTGTGTCATGACAACAATAGACATATTGTGTCATGACACTAGACATCTTGTGTCATGACAAAAACAGGCATCTTGTGTCATGACAACAGACATCTTGTGTCATAACAACATACATTTTGTGTCATGACAACAACAGGCATCTTGTGTCATGACAACAGACATCTTGTGTCATAACAACAACAGACATATTGTGTCATAACAACAGACATATTGTGTCATGACAACAGACATCTTGTGTCATAACAACATACATTTTGTGTCATGACAACAACAGACATCTTGTGTCATGACAACAACAGACATCTTGTGTCATGACAACAACATATATATTGTGTCATGACAACAACAGACATCTTGTGTCATGACAACAATAGACATATTGTGTCATGACAACAACAGACATCTTGTGTCATGACAACAACATGCATCTTGTGTCATGACAACAACAGACATATTGTGTCATGACAACAACAGATATATTGTGTCATGACAACAACATACATTTTGTGTCATGACAACAATAGACATCTTGTGTCATGACAACAACAGATATATTGTGTCATGACAACAACAGATATATTGTGTCATGACAACAACAGACATCTTGTGTCATGACAACAACAGACATCTTGTGTCATGACAACAACAGATATATTGTGTCATGACAACAACAGACATCTTGTGTCATGACAACAATAGACATCTTGTGTCATGACAACAACAGATATATTGTGACATGACAACAACAGATATATTGTGTCATGACAACAACAGACATCTTGTGTCATGACAACAACAGACATCTTGTGTCATGACAACAACAGATATATTGCGTCATGACAACAACAGACATCTTGTGTCATGACAACAACAGATATATTGTGTCATGACAACAACAGACATCTTGTGTCATGACAACAACAGACATCTTGTGTCATGACAACAACAGATATATTGTGTCATGACAACAACAGACATCTTGTGTCATGACAACAACATGCATCTTGTGTCATGACAACACACATCTTGTGTCATGACAACAGACATCTTGTGTCATGACAACAACATGCATCTTGTGGCATGACAACAGACATCTTGTGTCATGACAACATACATCTTGTGTCATGACAACAACAGACATCTTTTGTCATGACAGCAACAGACATCTTGTGTCATGACAACAGACATCTTGTGTCATGACAACAACAGACATCTTGTGTCATGACAACAACAGACATCTTGTGTCATGACAACAACAGACATCTTGTGTCATGACAACAGACATCTTGTGTCATGACAACAGACATCTTGTGGCATGACAGCAACAGACATCTTGTGGCATGACAGCAACAGACATCTTGTGTCATGACAACAACAGACATCTTGTGGCATGACAACAGACATCTTGTGGCATGACAACAACAGACATCTTGTGTCTTGACATTTTGTGTTTTCTAAAACCTTCACAACATTCAGTAAAATGCATATGGTAATGGTCAAGATCAGTGTGTGTAGTTAGCTTCACTAAATACTTCCTGTAAAGTCTGGATAGGGGGTGTGGTTGTTTAGACTCAAATGTTTGTTTGTTTGTTGTTTAACGCCACACTCAGCAATATTCCAGCTATATGATGGCTGTGGATCGCTATGACAGTTCAGACAGATGGTGTGGTTGTTTAGTCTCAAATGGATGGTTTTCACATACAATACATTAGTCACAACCCCAAAGACCATTTTGAAAACTTAAAAATGAAACAAGCGTATAGTTGACAAAGTCATCTATATCCCCTGCCCATTTTAACACGTTATGGTCCCAAACCAGGTAACTGATCCAACAATTCTCTCAGACCAGTAGACATGCAAAGTTTTGTAAGAAAGTATTTAACGTTTTTTGAGTTACGCTCTGGAAACGAACACACCCCTGTAGAACCTAAGTCCAACTTGTTGCAATGGAAACGTAAAAAATGAAAATTTATAAAATTCCTAAATAGCAAAAGGCACCAGTTCAGTATGTGCCTAGTAGACATGCAAAGTTTTGTAAGAAATTATTTAACAGTTTTTGAGTTACGCTCCGGAAACGAACAGCACCCTTATAGAACCTAAGTCCAACTTGTTGCCATGGAAACGTAAAAAATAAAAATTTACAAAATTCCTATATAGCAAAAGGCACCAGTTCAGCATGAGTCTGATAGACATGCAAAGTTTTGTAGAGAAATATTTAACGGTTTCTGAGTTGTGCTCCGAAAAACTACATTGGGACGCACACATGCACATACACACGCACACACACACACACAAACACAAACACAAACACAAACACGCACACAAACACGCACGCACGCACACACACACACGGATGGAACCAATTTCTATAATAAAATTAAATTTTTAGTGAACTGTTGTTCACTGCCTGTTGTAATGAAATAATGTAAATTTCATTATTTACAGAATCTATATGAAACAAAGCTGATATTAATATCATCAGTCACTGATTTCCCGTTTCTGGAGCTAAACATAAAATGGAGGGACAATTTTCACATCCTGATAGCAGTCAACAACCACCTTGGCACCATGGAGCAAATGTGTCTGTTCAAAAGAAGTTCCCTCCTAGTGTATAGATGGTATGGGTTTTCCAGAGGGCAGGAGCACACCATTCAGGGGTATGGTCTGCAAGTTTCCCCCGAACAAGCCGGTTCCCCCCAGGTGTCTTCCTACTCGGTGGAGGCAACCGATAATGTTGTCATTTCTCCTGCTTCAAATCCACAAGGTATGTTAAGGGTCGATGTTTCTGCCGGTGGACTAAAGTCCCTGAGTTTCAGCATAAGCTCAGTAGAATTTACCTGCTTATTCCCTGACCTCAACAAGAGGACTGTACTGCCTATTCCCTGACCTCAACAAGAGGACTGTACTGCCTATTCCCTGACCTCAACAAGAGGACTGTACTGCCTATTCCCTGACCTCAACAAGAGGACTGTTCTGCCTATTCCCTGACCTCAATAAGAGGACTGTTCTGCCTATTCCCTGACCTCAACAAGAGGACTGTTCTGCCTATTCCCTGACCTCAACAAGAGGACTGTTCTGCCTATTCCCTGACCAAGGAATAGGCAGAACAGTCCTCTTGTTGAGCCCAGGGAATAGACAGAACAATCCTCTTTTTGAGGCCAGGGAATAAGCAGGAATAGGCAGGACAATTCCTTTTCGACTGAACTCTATACCTTAGTTCAGGACAAGCAGCATCAGGGTGTGGGTGAGTAAAGTGTCAAAATACAAATGGTTCATCAGTTATGCTCTGGAAATGGACCTTTCACTGATTTGAATGTTGTCATGGATAAATTGTTTGATAGGCATTACTTAGAAGTTGACGGATGACAAGGTAGATACAATTTTATGGATAACAACTTCTTTAATACTGTGAAAAGCGACGTTTCGGTATAGATCCTTATACTGTTGTTAAGCAAGTCTTCCTTGACAACGGTATAGGGATCTATACCGAAACATCGCTTTTCACAGTATTAAAGAAGTTGTTATCCATAAAATTGTGTCTACCTTGTTGTCATGGAACCTGAAAAAAATGGAAAAATCCAAAATTCCTAAATAACAAAAGACAACTGATATCTGTGCAGAGTTTGATCAAGAAGTATTGAGCGGACTTTGAGCTCTGCTCCTGAAAGAAAGTGTGACAAAGGGAGAGCACCCATTCCAATGTACACAAGTGACCTTAAGTTACCACTTTAAATGTACAAGAACCATCTTGTTTCGAGTGACTGAGTGAGTCAACTACATAGACTGCTTCATTGCTTACAGAGAGAATAAAGACCATGGACCTGAGAGGGAAAATTCACCAGTTTACACCGGGAAAAATGATAAACATGTTAGGTGCACAGGTAGGTAACCTGATACGTTGATAGACACGAGCAGCATAAAGCCCCAACGTCAGGATTGTTGGTCAAGATTGTCATTCTTTTCTTAAACTTGAAAGTCAACAATAATATACCACAGGACCAGGGCCCTCTTGCACAAAGCGATCTTAGCGCTGAGACTATCGTAAGCCTATGTTGAAGTATGGGAGTTACAATCATCTTAGCGCTAAGATCGCTTTGTGCAAGTGGGCCCAGACCAATTTGAATCTTCTTAATATTGACATGTGAGGTGAAAGAGGGTTTAACGTTGTGTTCAAGACTGTTTCACTTATATAGCAACGTGCATGCACGTGTGTGTGTGGCTGCTTGTACCAGTTCAGACTGGTGCCGATTTATAGTGCTAGCCTACTGAAATACCATGCCGCAGTTTAACATGAATACCCCACTCAGACACAGTATTCTGAGCTGACCAGTCCTTGTTTTAGCCCTTAATGTGGATGTGAGGACACTTTGGCCATGTTATGGTGTTGGGGTGGTCAGGTAGCCTAGTGGTTAAAGCGTCCGCTCGTCACTCCAAGGACCTGGGTTTGATTCCTGACATGGGTACAATGTGTGAAGCCCATTTCTGGTGTCCCCCACCGTGATATTGCTGTTCTGCCTATTCCCTGGCCTCAACTAGAGGACTGTCATTATCAATCACACCAGGTTTCAGTATTCAAAGATAGAATTCCAGGATAGAACAGATCCCCAGCAACCAAAGCTGGTTGTAGGCGTGAGTGAGTGAGTGAGTTGGGTTTAACGCCGCTTTTAACAATATTCCAGTCATATCACGGCTTGTCAGCTTCATGTGGGAGGAAAGCCCGAAGTGGTGCAGGTCTCAGACATGTACCACTTCGGTGAAACCCACGAGCACGCGTATGGTGCTGAAAAACCTTGAAACAAAATCGGGATTTGAACCCACAATCATAGGTTTCTGGCGTGCCTAAGGGACGCAACTCTGCACAGCGAATCGCGGCGCCTTAGACGACTTGGACACCCGTGCCCCCTGCTAGTTGTAGGCAACTAAATGAATCGGGTGGTCAGGCGCAGTGACTTGGTTAATGGCGTGTCCTCGTACCTTGACGGCGTGGATGGTTGTGGACACTGGATAGTCTGGCCTACACTTGATTATTTACAGGCTGTTGTCACATAGCTGGAATATTGCTGAGTGCGGCATTAAACAAACAAAACCGTTTAAAAAAAATGGTCATATATATGTATTTTTAAAAATGTGTTGGACATACACAGACCATGACTTAATGCCCTTAGAAGATAGTAGTCTTTAACTTCTGGGGAGGTCGGGTAGCCTAGTGGTTAAAGCGTTTGCTCGTCACGCCGAAGACCCGGGTTCAATTCCCGACATGGGTACAATGTGTGAAGCCCATTTCTGGTGTCCCCCGCCGTGATATTGCTGGAATATTGCTAAAAGGGGCGTAAAAACATACTCATTCACTAGGCTTAACTTCTATGTACAGGACGTCTTAGAGATGGAGGTGGTACACAAGGCACCACTGGACTACAGCCTCAAGCCTACAGGACCTTCTGACAGCAAGGCAGGTCTGTGTGTTGTGTTCTGTGAGAGAAGTCAGAAGGAGTACGTTGTGATGTCGTCTGCCCCGGTCAGCGCTGGCATCCCACTCCTGCCTGTCTGTCGGTCCAGGACCAACTACAAGGTCAAGGTCGTGGGACTCAAACTTTACAAGAAGTATACATTTGGACAACAATCTCCAGTGTGCTATCAGTACGAAGCATGCAGAAAGTCAAGTGTGATCTCAATCAAGACATGTAAGTTGTGTTCAACTCACTCCCTCTACAGTACCTTCATATCTCACAACCTGAAATGTGCTGTCATATAGCCAGAACATTGTTGAGTGTGGTGTTAGAAAACAAACAACCTGGAATGTAATTAGATTTGGGGTCGGCCCAGGATTTGTGTTTGGCTAAAGTCAATATTTAGAAATATATAGCTGGTGGGTTAGATTAAAAGGATTTGGGCGGCTGACGTAGTACCTATCTTTGTAGTCCTTGTGTAGAAGCTTATGCCCACACGGGCGTAGTGGCTGGGAAGATGTGACGATGCCACGCTTCTTGCATGCTCGGCTCAGCAGAAGCCATGGTTGAGAGAGCCGAGATGCAAGGAGCGTGTTCATTGGTTGTGTCCGTTTGCCGGGTCACATGGTCCGCATGTCGGCTATATAAGCCTACCCTGGGTATGGGGTCGTCAATCTTCCTTTCACCAGCATCTGGGAAAAGAAAGTGGTCAACTCATATGTCTTGAACCAAGACCTCTTTTATTACCTTTTTCTTTTTGGATTAGTAGTTCGTTTTGTTTTGTTTGGGATAATGTTTTTTCTGAGGTAAGTGTTAGTTATGGGTGGAGGAGAAATAGAGTAGGAATTGAAAAGGATTGTTTGGGGACATTATATTTTGAGGAGTTAGTTAGAAGGGTGTAATTAAGACTACGTTTAAGAAAGAATAATGTAGGTTTGAATGGTATTACGTAGGTAAGGAAATGGGGAAAGTAGGAAGGGTATTTAGGATGAAGATTTGCCCCCTATTGTTTTTGCTAAAATAAACTTTAAATTAAACTTCATTCCTGTTTTGTATTTTTTTTTCTATAATTAGAATTGATAACCCGTCCAGGAGCCTTACAGAACAAGTAGGCAAAGCATCCTGCGTAGGGAGTCGAGAATACAATGCAAACCCCTGCAGTAAACATAAGACATTTGACCAAAATCTATATTGCTCTGCTGTCACTGGGCGCCAATTAGAGGGCACCTATGAGAGGGCGCCTATGAGAGGACGCCTATGAGAGGGCGCCTATGAGAGGGCGCCAACTAGAGGGCACCTATGAGAGGGCGCCTATGAGAGGGCGCCAATTAGAGGGCGCCAATTAGAGGGCGCCTATGAGAGGGCGCCAATTAGAGGGCGCCTATGAGAGGGCGCCTATGAGAGGGCGCCTATGAGATGGCGCCTATGAGAGGGCACCAATTAGAGGGCACCTACTACAGATTATAACAGTGATAAGACAGACCTTTTCAAGAAGTTTTGACACATGACACTCTTCATCTTTCAGGCATGTCCAAAGAGGAACTACAACAGCTGAAAACCATGGCAGTCACTTACTGTCACAGCAAGTCTCGGAACCCTGGGAAATACACCATCAAACAGTTCTACCGCAGTAAGCCTGAGCGATACTACACACACATCATGTCCAACAAAGGTGGAGTGATGGAGAAGTACATCAAGGACAACAATGGCGACCCATATTCTGCGATCAACAAGAAGATTAATGGACTCTTCTTCAGTGGGTCACTGGATACCCGTACACGGAAGCCACCAGACTTCTCGTACTTTGGAGACAAACGACTTTTCATCCCTGCAGAGGAACTGTTTACATGGGACACCAGGATGTATTTTGCAGACTTTTACTGTCTCTATGAAACACACTACGTCACAGTTGTGGTCACAAAGACGGGATCAGCTGAAGACAGATTCTGTGAGGGAAGACTTCTTGAACTGGACTTGAAGGATAATCCTTTTTTCACCATCAAACAAGGCACTGGATCGGCAGCAAACAACCCAGGCTATGGTCAGCTTTCAGGGTTATCCAGCACTTTCGGGTCTCTGTCGATGTCCCAGGGATACTCGCATCATGCTTCACCCTACAGTCTACCATCCCGCCAGAATGCTGTCCAGAAGACGTTCACGATGGTGTCTGTCCACAAGTTTCATGTGGAGTTTTTGTACACCGAGGATGTCGACATCAGGGGCTTGGAAAGGAGATGTGGCGAGGGCAGAGTTTACTTCAAATCTGTCCAGGGTTTAGGGGAAAGCAAGAAGGATGGAATTCCAAAGAATACTAACTGCCCAGTATGCAACCTTGGTGCCAAGGCTTAAGGAACAGATGGACAAAGTTAACTTCATATTTGTGAAGGACAAGAAGGACGGAATTCCAAAGAATACTAACTGCCCACTATGCAACCTTGGTGCCAAGGCTTAAGGAACAGATGGACAAAGTTAACTTCATATTTGTGAAGGACAAGAAGGACGGAATTCCAAAGAATACTAACTGCCCACTATGCAACCTTGGCGCCAAGGCTTAAGGAACAGATGGACAAAGTTAACTTCATATTTGTGAAGGACAAGAAGGACGGAATTCCAAAGAATACTAACTGCCCACCATGCAACCTTGGCACCAAGGCTTAAGGAACAGATGGACAAAGTTAACTTCATATTTGTGAAGGATTTGTGGAATTCCAAAGAAACAGTTCTGCCACCTCAAACCATGATCTGCCCACTTTGAATTGAATTGAGGGGTAACAAAAACATCTTGATTATTTTTAAGTGTTTTGATGAAGTGACATACATTCGGCAAATACTACAGTGAACCTATAGCCTATACAGTGCCAGAGCTATGAGAGACCTGACATTCACAGAGGCAAAGAAAGAGCCCCAATACTTGACATATTGGGTTGTCAAGGTAACAGAAAGAAAAACTATATGAAGATACAACTATTCTTTTGTGATTGCAGATTTGAAAGGAAAAAGCTCAGCCAGTAGGTGATAAGACCTAACCTGGCATAGTGAGAGCAGCAGATAATTACTGAACCAAGATTTGTGCTGGCGCTTAAGCGTAATCCTTAAAGCCCCACTCTGACTATAAATTGCCCGCAAGGTGGCGGAGGTTCAGTTTCGAACAATGTATCATGATATAACATTTATACTAAGTTTTCCTATAATAATTAGATCCACATCAAGTGCTTTTCATCAAATAGGTGAATCCATGCAAACATCTCCAACTATGTGAATATGATTAAATGCAGACAATACTCATGTTGGTCAAATATACAAAAGAAACGCCAAAGTATCTGTGTTCATGTTTAACTGTGTTCATATTCTGTCTATTTATCAAATGATATTCTCAGAAGCACTAACCTGCAATTGTAAACATTTTCATCCTTGTAGATTATTGATCATGTTGATACTCAATCAGGCTTAAAATGGATCCCATTTGGCTTGCTAAGTTTCATCAAATTCAAAATTTCCAAATATAATTCCGCCAGGCAAATTGTGAATTTTGACACAAGTTATGGTGAAATGTCTCTGAAGTTTCATTCTCTGTAGATGAAGTTTGAACGAAACATTTTAGATGCGTGTTTCCTTTTGACGATAATACGCAAAAACATAGAACTAAGCTTTGTTGTCGGCCATGATTTAGGAACTAGATTCAGCTTGCACCTGGTGCATGTTGACACCAGACGAAAAATTAACTTTAGTAGTATATTATTAGGAAAAAAAAATCTGATCCCAGATGATGTCATTAACATTGTGAAATGTTCAGTTCACTGGCAAGATCACTTTGAACGGCATCACTTAAACATCCCATAATTTCTCTTGCTTTCTTGTCATTATCATAAGACTGACCTGGTAGGGTTTATGACGTCAAGCCAAAAGGACAATGTGGTATTACACATGACACTGAGAATTGTAATGATATATTGTACAAAAAGTGTATTGAATTCAAAGATTAATGTGGTGTAGAAAACATTCTTTCGTAAGTCAGTCACAAATTTGTAAAAAATTTCGACATGCACTAATGACTGACAATGTAAAACAACCCAGTGTCGGGAGAAGCGTTTTGAAAACCGTATGCAAACAAGATCACCATTGACCATCAAACTTCATATCAACTTGAATGACAAACCATGGATACCACAAATGGCTCCCTATATAGATACAAGCCAATAAATTTTGTCAAAAATTGAATCGATCGTGTTTGGCGTCTGCATCAATCACAGATGGCAGAGCTTAATTACGGTTGTGCTATAAATAGCAGAGCACATGGTCATGTGTACATGTGACACATTCAATGCATTTGTGGTCAAAGTGATTGTTTTGTATATTTTTACGGCAGAACAGCAGCAATTTAACAGTAACAATAAATACAAAATTGACGACAAGATTCTTTCAGTTCAATCCGAAAAATTACAGATATTTGTTTAGTTTTGGTCATTTGGATTCAACAGTCAGATCTATACCACACAATAATCAGATCATATTTATAAAGCTTGAATTATTAGATTTTCAACTAGTTTTTAGGAAGGGGCCTAATTTGAAGCACTGGAAGTTGCGCCAATATTTATTAGCTTGACTACAATATATGAATACTTCATGTGTATCAACATAACAATGCACATAAGCAACTAATAAATAAGAACCGAAACATACTTTAATATAATGCCAAATGTATTAAACCTTGGTCCACTGTGTAAAACAGATCAGAGAGAATCAGAAAGGTCAGGTCTCGTCACTCGTGAGTGAGTTTTACGCTGCTTTTAGCAATGTTCTAGCAATATCACGGTGGAGGACACCAGAAATAGGCTTCACACATTGTACCCAAGTGGGAAACTGAACCGAATGGGAAACTGAACCCGATGGGAAACTGAACCCGGTGGCAAACTGAACCGAATGGGAAACTGAACCAAGTGGGAAACTGAACCGAATGGGAAACTGAACCGAATGGGAAACTGAACCAAGTGGGAAACTGAGCCTGTGGGAAACTGAACCTGGTGGGAAACTGAGCCCAGTGGGAAACTGAACCCAGTAGGAGACTGAACCCGGTGGGAAACTGAACCCAGTTGGAAACTGAACCCGGTGGGAAACTGAACCCAGTAGGAAACTGAACCCAGTGGGAAACTGAAACCAGTGGGAAACTGAGCCCAGTGGGAAACTGAACCCAGTTGGAGACTGAACCCGGTGGGAAACTGAACCCGGTGGGAAACTGAGCCCGGTAGAAAACTGAACCTGGTGGGAAACTGAACCAAGTGGGAAACTGAACCCAGTAGGAGACTGAACCCAGTGGGAAACTGAACCCAGTTGGAAACTGAACCCGGTGGGAAACTGAACCAAGTAGGAAGCTGAACCCGGTGGGAAACTGAACCTGGTGGGAAATTGAACCCAGTGGGAAACTGAACCCAGTAGGAGACTGAACCCGGTGGGAAACTGAACCCGGTGGGAAACTGAACCTGGTGGGAAACTGAACCCAGTGGGAAACTGAACCCAGTAGGAGACTGAACCCGGTGGGAAACTGAACCCAGTGAAAGTATACCCCCCCTTCAATCTATACCTGGGTAGATTCTGGGGCCCTCCAGAATCTACCCCCCTTTCCCAGAACCAAACCCCAGGGTATACTCTGTGAGTTCCCTTGTCATCTGATTAAGTTTACATAAATGGCTGTTCAGTACACAATTAGTTTTAACACATTCATATCCTGTTATTCAAACTGAGAAGACAAAGGTGGGAGCACCAGTTTTTCCAAAAGGTAATCATAACTAAAGAAATCTCACATAGGAGATGAGAATGTACATGAATGTCCATGAAGTTTTCTTTGGGGGAATACATCTGACTCAGTCTTGTTACATCAATAGTTAAAATATAAAATATAAAATATACATCAATGCATTAAAACAGTTGGTTGGTTGGTTGGTTGGTTTTTTTACGCCGCACTCCAGCTAAATGACTGCGGTCTGTAAATAATCGAGTCTGGACCAGACAATCCAGTGACTGACATCATGAGCGTCGATCCACGCAATTGGGCATTAAAACGGCATTAATTGGGTAGTGACATGATATTAAGAGAGTGTGTGACAACGACGCTTATACAGTTTTGTTAGTAATACGGCTAACTTATTACATAGTGAATCATTATTCATTATAAAAATAAACTGGTCTGCTGGATTAAGTTGTAGGAAGGAAGGATCTAAACTAGAAATAGAATAAAAACAAATTATTACTTAGGTCTGAGTAAAGATGACAAGTTACAAGAAAGTGTATTTCATCTTTAACACAGTTGGTACAAAACTTGCAGAGTCTATGTATTAAAGTTGTTACAGGTTTTGTGTATCTTCCTAGTTCAATCTCTAAAGGCAGGGTTCCACGACGGAATGTACCCAAAATACTTCTTTCATATCTATCAAGTGAAGCACTGACATACTTCTCTGTATAAACCTCCGTTTTAAATTGTCTATACGTTCTTAGCTTATTACCATTTACGAAATTTCTATAATTCCATAATTCTACAAGCCAGTTATTATAATCAATACACATTAACCACTGTTTTGCAGAATCAAATTCAGCTGGGGATTTGTCAAAAACATTTGACACAGGTAAAGCCCTGTTTAAAATAAGTAAAATTAAGTTTACATAAATGCCTATTCAGTACACATCTAATTTGTTTTAAAACATTCATATCCTGTTATTTAAATTGCCACACCAGTTCAAATATAAATAATATAAAACCTCTGACTAAGACAATGACAGTTGCTTCATGAAATTTATTATGCCCATCTGACTATATTTAGAAGATGAGAATGTAAATGGCCAAATAATTAGATGCTTTTAATTATGTGATGTCTTCCGTAGTCAGAATATATTCTCGATACTGTGATACATGCCTCCACAAACAAAGGTACTTACAGACACAAGTGCATACTTATAATTGGTTTCAAAATGATTTTATATGCAATCAAAAGCAGGTAGGTCTTTTAAGTCAATGTGATTTGTAAGACATTTTTTATTAGTTTAAACAATATTTTTTTCTTCTTTGCATGTATAAAACAACATTTTTAATTTTTGGATTCGACAACAATTTGTTATTATCTACACGGGTAGATTCTGGGAAAGGGGGATAGATTCTGGGAAGTCCCCAGCTTTAAACAGTATTCCAGTTACATCACGGCATGTCAGCTTAATGTGGGAGGAAAGCCCGAAGTGATGCAGGTCTCAGACGTTTACCACTTCGGTGAAACCCACGAGCACAGGTATGGTGCTGACAAACCTAGAAAAATAATCGGGGCGAACCGGGATTCGAACCCACAATCGTAGGTTTCTGGCGTGCCCAAGGGACGCAACTCTGCACAGCGAATCGCGGCGGCTTAGACGACTGGGCCACCCGTGCCCCTCAATGCTGTTAAGATGACACATACTCAACAAAGTCACAGAGCCTGGTCATCAGGTTCATTAGTGAGTGAGTGAGTATGGTTTTACGCCGCTTTTAGCAATATTCCAGCAATATCAGGGCGGGGGACACCAGAAATGGGCTTCACACATTGTACCCATGTCGGGAATCAAACCCGGGTCTTCGGCGTGATGAGCGAACGCTTTAACCACTAGGCTACCCGACCGCCCTCAGGTTCATTAAGCTGCCCCTACAACATCCAAGGTTCCTGGGGACCAGTGTAAATGATTAAGTCTGGACCAGACAAACCATGACTCCTCGGACAAGGATAATTTAGGGGGATCAATTGTACCCTGGTTTATCTTACTGCAACAAAGTGAGGTGAGGTGAAACGGGGTTTAATGTCGCATCCAAGATTATTGCACTTATATAGCGACGTGCATGTACGTTGGTTGGTTGGTTGGTTGGTTGGTTGGTTGGTTGGTTTGTTGTTTAACGCCGCACTTGGTCTGCAAATAATTGAGTCTGGACCAGACAATCCAGTGATTGACATCATGAGCATCGATCCACGCAATTGGGATCGATGACATGCATCAACAAAGACATGCATGTACGTGTGTGTGGTGTGACTGCTTGTACTAGTCCGGTCTGATGCCAATTTATTGTGCTAGCCCACTGACATACCATGCCGCAGTTTAACACGAATATCAAACTCAGACACAGTATACTGACTCTGAGCTGACCAGTCCCTTTAGCCCCTTAATACTGAGCGCCAGACTGGGTAACAACAAGTATCATCTTTTAACGTCTTTTCGTATGACGCGGCCGGGGATCAAACCCCGGACCTTCCGCTCTCCGGGCGGACGCTCTACCACTAGACCACGGAGGCAGTCTCTTACTGCCACAAACTGCTGGGGAGGTGTTAACATAGTTTGATACTCCCAATCAATACAGAAGTCTCTCAACAGATGGAGTGTGAGTGAGTGCCTAGGTTGTACACCGATTTTGGCAATATTCCAGCAATATCACAGCGTGAGTCACAAGAAACAGGCTTCACACATTTGATCCATTTGGGGAAAAGAACCCAGGCCTTCGGCTTGACAAGCAAACGCTTTAATCACTTGGCTACCCCAACGCCCCTTCAACAGATGGAAGTCACTGAAACAGACCTTATGTAACAAGTGTAAGAATGAAACCCAGACCATATGCATGGGCGGATACAGCTTTTTTTAAAAGGGGGGGTGCACAATTAAGATCTACTTATTGTCTTTTGTGGTAATTTTTACAGAAATACAGTTGTTTTTTTAAATAAAGGGGGGGGTATCCACCCATGATATGGTCATAGGGGTTAGTTTATGCTCATAGGTAGTAGTTCATGCCCAAAGGGGCTGGTTCATGCCCCTTCGGCGTGACAAGCAAACGTTTTAGTCACTAGGCTACCCCACCGCCCCTTCAACAGATGGAAGTCACTGGAATAGACCTTATGTAACAAGTGTAAGAATCAAACCCAGACCATCTGCATAACAAGCTAACACACATACCGCTAGGCCATGCACCCATGCCTGACACACAACAGGAACAGCAAACATGCTGTCCACACAAAGCATAGGCTGTAATGGGAGAGTGACAAAAGGCAACACTTCGGCTTACTCAGCCACCCCCTGCTTCTCTGTAGTAATACACACATACAATGGGTCATTGAAATGCGGTCCTTGACGAAAGCATTTTTGTAGTGTACTGACAAGACAAGTCAAGTATTGAGGGGGTGAGCACGTTTCCTTCATGGACTGTGGTAGGGGCAGTGATTTCCATGAAGAGGAAGCAGTACTGGGAATAATGGAGTTTCACAGAAATGAAACCAAAAGTTGTGCATTTCAAGGAAGTAGGGATGATTTATTGATCCACATTGATCGATCGATTTATGGTAGTCGAGTCTAAACCTTATCTCTTTGTTCTGTCCAGTCTTGGTGACTTTGGTAGTTTTCCCTGACACCCCCCCCGTACCATTTCTCAAACCCTGCCACACCTCTGAGAAGTATGCCCCCCCACATATACATAATCCAGCCTCCATGTCCAGCAGGAACTGGTAGTTATAAATAAACAAGATGACACAACCTAGTTTCGTTTTGTCGCTCTTTCGTGGAAACAGGAATGAAAGTATCAGTGCCCTGGCTTGCACCAATACTGCACACTCTGTCTGGAGAGCGTTTGACAGCAGGACACGATGGACGGCAGTGTAAGTATACCTCACTAAACCTGTCCTAATTTCAGCAGTGCTAAAGATTAAAGGAGCAACTATTGGATTTTCAGAGGAAGGGGGGTGGTTGGTGGTTGGGAGGGGGGACGAGAGGATTCTGATTTGAGATCAGGATATTTTGTTTAGGATTTCTTTTTTAAACATAAACAGGTGCTCAATTATGGTTTTTTTCAAATAAATAAATAGAACTAAGTCTTTTTTTTGGTTTAGAAGTTCAATTACTTTTTTAACATATACAGATGCTCAATAATATTTTTTTCAAATAAATGAAAATAACTAACTCTATTAATTCTTTAGACATTTTAATATAGTCTACTGTAGGGGATGGTCAGGTCACAGGTCAGCAAAACCTAGCTCGTGTTTTACAGTTGGTAGCTTGAAAGTGTAAATAAAAGGAGTTGTGAACTAAAATTTGATTTCTCGATACTTCAATACACACTGTCTGCAAAAAAAGGCACAATTTGAGGCATGTATGAATAAACAAGTTCATAGGGGCTAGTTCATGCTCATGAACATAGGCCTTGTTCATGGCCATGGTCATTGGGGCTGGTTCATATTCTCAGGGGCTGGTTCATATTCACAGGGGCTGGTTCATGTTCATAGGGGTTGGTTAATGTTCACAGGGGCTGGTTCATGTTCACAGGGGCTGGTTCATGTTCACAGGGGCTGGTTCATGTTCATAGGGGCTTGTTCATGTTCATAGGGGCTGGTTCATGTTCATAGGGGCTGGTTCATGATCGTAGGGGCTGGTTCATGTTCATAGGGGCTGGTTCATGATCAAAGGGGCTGGTTCATATTCAATGGGGCTTGTTCATATTCATAGGGGCTGGTTCGTGTTCATAGGGGCTGGTTCATGTTCATAAGGGCTGGTTCATGATCATAGGGGTTGGTTCATGTTCATAGGGGTTGGTTCATGATCATAGGGGCTGGTTCATGTTCATAGGGGTTGGTTCATGTTCATAGGGGCTGGTTCATATTCATAGGGGCTGGTTCATGTTCATAGGGGCTGGTTCATGTTCATAGGGGCTGGTTCATGATCATAGGGGTTGGTTCATGTTCATAGGGGTTGGTTCATGTTCATAGGGGCTGGTTCATATTCATAGGGGCTGGTTCATGTTCATAGGGGCTGGTTCATGTTCATAGGGGCTGGTTCATGATCATAGGGGCTGGTTCATGTTCATAGGGGTTGGTTCATGTTTATAGGGGCTGGTTAATGATCATAGGGGTTGGTTCATGTTCATAGGGGTTGGTTCATGTTCATAGGGGCTGGTTCATATTCATAGGGGCTGGTTCATGTTCATAGGGGCTGGTTCATGTTTATAGGGGCTGGTTAATGATCATAGGGGTTGGTTCATGTTCATAGGGGTTGGTTCATGATCATAGGGGCTGGTTCATGTTCATAGGGGTTGGTTCATGTTCATAGGGGCTGGTTCATATTCATAGGGGCTGGTTCATGTTCACAGGGGTTGGTTCATGATCATAGGGGCTGGTTCATGATCATAGGGGCTGGTTCATGTTCATAGGGGTTGGTTCATGATCATAGGGGCTGGTTCATGGTCATAGGGGCTGGTTCATAGGAGCCTGTTCATGTTCACAGCAGCTGGATCATATGCATAGGGTTGGTTCATGTTCATAGGGGCTGGTTCATGTTCATAGGGGCTGGTTCATGGTCATACGGGCTGGTTCATGTTCACAGGGGCTGGGTCATATGCATAGGGGCTGGTTCATATTCATAGCAAAGGCTTTAGTCACTTGGCTACGTACAAGCAGCCACACACACACATGTAGCTATTTAAGTGCAATAATCCTAACATGACGTTAATCCCATTTCACTTCACCTCACCTTCTATTCAGGGCGACTGGTTCATGTTCATGCTAAAGTTCTAGGTGGTGAGGTGAGGTGAAATGGGGTTTAACGTCGCGTTCAAGATTATTGCACTTATATAGCGACGTGCATGTACGTGTGTGTGTTTGTGTGGCTGCTTGTACTAGTCCGGACTGATGCCGATTTATAGTGCTAGCTCACCGAGATACCATGCTGCAGTTTAACATGAATACCCCACTCGGACACAGTATACTGACTCCGAGCCGACCATTCCTTGTTTTAGACCCTTAATGCCGAGCACCAGACGGGGTAACAACAGGTACCATCTTTTAATGTCTTTAGGTATGATGCGGCCGGGGATCGAACCATGGATCTTCCGCTCTCCGGGCGGACGCTCTACCACAAGACCACTGAGGCGGTCCTAAAGTTCTAGAATATGTTTGTGATGACGGGATCTTCAAGGAACACTGTGAAATATTATGTCTATTATTATTCAACATATTTTGGTGGGCCCTGTTTTTTGTAGGTTTATGTAATATTTTGCCTCACGTTTTACATATAGAATCCTTAATGAGCTCCCATGTAATACCAATTTTATGAAACGAGTGAATAGTTCTAGTATTTGACAAGCTAAAGTAAGTCCAATTGAGTTTAACAGAATAATACTTAAAAAACGTCAAATGTTGACAGATATTAATTTAATACCATACAACGGCCCACCTTTAGAATTAAGGCGTCCGTTCCATAAAAGTTATCGTAAAGCTAATGTTATCGTAACTCACATTTAGATACACGTATAAACTGATCTGGTCATGAATACACTGAAGTTTACTGAAAGTCAGAAGGAATGTGTGCATGGTCAGAAAGAAATGTGAACAATTGTCACTTATAGTGCAACCATAGAGTTCTAGATAACTTTTGCCATTAAACAATGTAATCACGTGACTAACCACGGGTCCTGGGTACCCGGGTCCTACTCAGTACCCACCCGATTATGATTATCACATTGAAGTGAGAGATAGACAATGATTTCGACGGAATCAGTCGTACAGCGCGTAACTGTTCCCCTTCCTCATGAGGTTGCATGATAAGAAAACACATTCCGATTTCACTTCTCCGATCTGGTAAGCGACGCTCTGATTGGTCAGATGAAAGGTCGTTCTGACATGACCCGTAATGGGATATGCTCATACATGTGCACATCAATGTGCAGAAAATTATTAAGCTGATGTAAATATAAGAGTGAGTGAGTTTGGTTTTACGCCGCTTTTAGCAATATTCCAGCAATATCACGGCGGGGGTCACCAGAAATGGGTTTCACACATTGTACCCATGTCGGGAATCGAACCCAGGTCTTCGGCGTGACGAGCGAACGCTTTAACCACTATGCTACCCGACCGCCCCTAAAATGTTTCAAGACTATGAGTCTTTGATGTGTCTAATAACAGGATATTTGCAGGATTTCGACCTGTTGACCAACGTAATTCACACAAAGTCCCAGTGCGGTATCCATTGATGTGTAATCTGCTGTACTGTTGTTGTTTTAACGGATCAAAAATTCTCATTTTGTAATATTGATGGAAAACGTCTTTGTAAATTATTTAGTGTGACGTAAGGCACACAAAGTCTTTGAAGTTTGAATAACATCATCACAGCTGACCACACTCGTTCCATA